GGTTGGGAATGTAGTTCAATACAAAGACCCTGGGTATGGTCCCCAGTACTACCAAACAAAAAAGAGACCCCCCCCCCAAAAAAAATGAAAACAAACAAAATAAAAAACCCAAACCCCGAACAGTAAAAGACACACTGCTATTAATCCCCCTCAAAATGCCCTCCCTCACTTTCTGCACACTTACCCCAGTGTTCTTGCTGCTTTGTGAAGCAGTTCTGGAAGTCCTCTTTCATATCTTTAGCTGCACTGTTGAATCTCCCTTGATGTCTTGAATTACTTCAGAACAGTTACTTTTCATGGTCATTTTGACTTTGTGAAAGGAGGAGGAGTCATGTGGTGCCAGATATGGTAAATGGGAGGATGATGACACACTGAAGTGTCTTCATGAGCCTGCCTTTCTACTGATGGATTGCACTTGGCAGCAGCATTCATCAGAATTCTACCCATGCAAGAACATTTGTAAAATTTGGGAAGGCCTGTAGTATTCTCTTAATGTGGAATGCTCAGTTTGATTTCTTCTTCAGGAAAAATACACAAAAGCAAAAAATTTCTTCCGGGTCCACCTGATAAAAGAATAATTTGATTACCTTGATATTCCCATTATATTCATGTAGCATTTATGCTGAACATGTTCTTACATTCTCAGACAGTCATAGGTTGTATCTTCCTTGTTCTTAGAGATAAACATTGTTTATTCATCTCTACTGAGGAACCAGTCATCATTCAGCATGTCTGACACTCAACAACATGTCTGTTCAGTTGGAATCCATTCATTTGTGTTCTGATCCATTCATTTAAGAGTTATGTATCTTGAGTGGAGGTGCATTCTTCCTTCTGGGAAGCAGCTGAATATGGAGAAAAAAGCATAGCTTCAGGAGTCAGATCTAGCTGGGCTCAAATGCTAGGTTTCCATTATATTAGCCTCAGTTTATTCACTAGTGTAATGGAGATAATATCTTTACCTCATTGCATTGTGAGGTTTGAGATAACATGTTATTTATTAGGGTCTATGCCTGCCGTGTAGTAAATGCTAGATAAATAAATGTCTTCTTCCTTTCTAACATTAGATTGAAGTCTGCTTCTTCGTACTTTTTCCCTTTGATTTTAGTTCTGTCTTAACAGCTTATGTCTAGCCTCACTCTTACATGTCCTCCCTCCACTGTTGAGAAGTAATGATATAGTTTTCTTGGCTCTGCCGTTCTCCTCCTCTCAGCTAATGTCCTTTAACTGTTCCTTACTTAAGGTGCTTTCCAGGCCTTGCCTGTTCTCACTGGCTTCCTGGATACATACTAGTTCGGTAGTGTTCTTGTTAACCTGCCCGGGCTTTAATTTTTCACCTCAGGAACAAGAATATTAAAGATGATCTGTAAGATCTTAGCCTGGGTGGCTGTTTTGTGCTTTTATAAACTTTATCAGACACTACCCCTCCCCTACATGCCAATCAGGCTAAGAGACTGCTCCCCATTAGCGGGCTGGACTTGGTCTTCATATTTTCGTTTTCAGCAAAAACTTTCATTGAACTGTAATGTAACTGTGTTTGAATTTTATGCTGGTTTTAAGTGCCCCCAAAATGATTATAGTATCAACAGAAGCAAAATTGACTTCTGCTTCACAGTCCCTTAACTCTCATCCCTGTAGGGTCATCAAGACTCCTGAGGTAGCAAACCTGGCCTTGCTTGGCTTTGGAGATGTCTTTGCCCTGCTGTTTGACAACCGCTACCTGTACATCATGGACTTGCGGACAGAGAGCCTGATTAGCCGCTGGCCTCTGCCAGAGTACAGGAAATCGAAGAGAGGCTCGAGTTTCCTGGCAGGCGAAGCTTCCTGGCTGAATGGACTGGACGGGCACAATGACACGGGCTTGGTCTTTGCCACCAGCATGCCTGACCACAGTATTCACCTGGTGTTGTGGAAGGAGCATGGTTGACACCACGAGCCACCACCGTGGACTGACTTTGGGTGCCGAGGCTGCAGGTTTTGGGTGCAACCTCTTTGGCAGCCGACTGCATGAACCAAAGCTCCCCTAATGGTATCATCACGCAGTGCACAATCATTTATCTATGTTTGCCAGGGGCCAGGGCTCAGGGTGGGGGAGGGCTTGTTTTTTTGACATACGGCACAGCATGCTAAGGGGGTACACCATTGACTTCATTTGTACTTAGTTATGTTGGTCAGTGTAAGAGGATGCATTTGGGGTTCATCTTTCTTGAGTGGAATATTGGTTTTAAGTAAAGTGTTTCATCTGCTAATTGGTTGCCTATGAAATCGTATTCAATCTGTTATTAAAAGCTCTTCAGCATAGCTTTTTTTTTTGTTTGAAATTGAAGCAAAGGTGCTATGATGTTGATACAGCAACTTTTTTTCATATGGGGCTTAGTTTTTATAAGAGCCAGTGTTACAAAGACCACCGAGTCCTGTGACTTTCGTGAACTTTCCACCAAATACAGTTCTACAGAAAGTCTGTCTTCCAGTACAAATCTAATCCTATAAGTTGATTGCTTGCAACTTGTTCTAAACCCTAGTTCTTGGCAGCATCAAGATTGGCGTGATTAAAATGTGAAGGAATTGTACAGTTTGTTTCCATGTGAGGAAAGCTTCTTCCCACCACGTCCTCTGGGTGGGTTGCAGCGCAGAGGTAATGTGAAATAGTGCAAAGACCACTGGGCTGGAAGATTGGTGACTGGGTGTTGTGTAGGAGCCTGCAAGCTCAGCTGTATCGTTTCTCTTGGCCCTGCTTTGCTTGTTTGTGCAGGTGGATGTACAGCTAAGATTCCTTCCTGTACTACATCCACTGAAGTGTACAAAGTTGATATTGCCGTTTTGTCTGATTCTGATTGTTTCTTCAAGTTGGAGATAATATTTAAATGAATCTCTGATACAGTTGTTATCTATAAGGAAATTGATTACATAAAAAGACAAATAAAAGGGGAATGTAGAGTATGTAACAGGTTCCACTTGGAAAACCTAAGTAACTGGTGGAGCAGGTGCTAGGAGGAGTTAGGCTTCTGTAGGGAGGCAGTGTGTTAGCTGGAAGGGAAAGATCCGTGAGCCTGACTTCCTCATTTGCCCCTAACTTGGTCTGTGACATCAAGCAAGTTAACCTTCTCTTCCTTGAACCTCATTTTCTTCGTTTTTAGAACGAAGGAATTGTTGTGAGTTAGGGTTTGTAAACGCACATGCCTTAGGGAGTTATGTAGGTTACAGAAACGAATAGAACATGCTGGGTAGGATGTGTGGAGTTCTGGAAAATGCATCTAAGAAGTTACTCAGCTTTACTTTTATTATTAGCAGAAACAAGCTCAATGTTAACAGGCATGATTTTTTCTCAGGAGTAGGTAGAAATCCAGATTTTTACATCCTCTGATCTTCAACATTTTGACAGCTGATGGGGATTATTTACAATAAGATGGGCTAAAAAACCATATTAGTTTATGTCTTCTACCCTCTTTAAAGTTAGGGAATTCTGTAGTTCAGCAGTGGAAATGTTTTAACATGCTTGTCACAAATTAGGGAAAAAGTAGAAGGAGCAGCAGTAGAAGCTGCTTCCCTGTGTTATAGAGGGAGCAGTGAGGCGGCATATTTTATTGTAGACCCAACAGGAAAGTGGTATGAAGATGAACATGAGAATTGGAAGCTCAGTGAAGCCTCTGCCTAGGAACACAGCTTATTCCTCCTCCTTGATGCCTCTGATACAAAGCATATCATTTAACAGATGGGTGAAGGACTGCTGGCGGAGCTGAGGATGGGAGCTCTAAGGTGGAGACACAGCTCTTTCAGAATCTGCATTATTAGCATTGAGCAGGGCCGTGGACCTGAGAATCAGTGGTTGGTTTTGAGGGCAGGTTTAGTTAGTAATTGTGTTGAAATGCCCAGGGGTTTAGGTGAAAGAATAGTATCTTCCTCTGCCTGCCAAGCCTGGAGGTAACACATTGCCGCCAGCGTGAACCATCCGTGGTGCGTGTGTGACTGTCCCATCGGGCAGCCTGGTCCACTGGTGGTGGAAGTGCTGCAGTCCTCGTGGGACCGTCATACACGTGCCACCAGTGGTTCAGGCTGCCTGGCAGTGACACAGATGAGGTACCGCCCTGTTGTGAATGTGTTAATCCATCTCACATTGAGTTCTGCACATGATCTCTGCTTTGTCCTCCTAGAAATGGAGCCAGAGTGCAGCTGGATCTTTTTAAGGAGTCTGTGGAGACTGGGCACTGATGAGGGTAAATCACTTTCATTTTCAATTAGCCTGTAAAAATCGTTGAGATTACTGATTCAGTGGTCATCCTTACTGTGCATCTCACTTTCCCATGTATCTGATAGCTTCAAAGGGCAAGTCAGAATGGTCATTTGTGGAAAAGTTTTTTTTAAAAAAATGACCGACTTGAAACCGTCCCTTTTCATCTTTCTGTGATACATACAGAAGTCATCAAGATGCTGCTGCTGGATTTTGAATGCGTACTCGAGGCAAGTGGTAGGAGTCTTAACTTCAGTTCCTCTCCATAGATACCTTTATTCACGCTTGTTGTTCAGTTGCTGTATAGGGGCTGGGTTTATTCATACAACTGACTTCTAAAAGTAGACAGCTAGCTCTTCCTTTTCACAAAATAGAGCACAGGGACCAGGCAGAGCATAGCCGTGGGTGTAGTTCCTTGGGCTCCTTTCATTGAGCTTGGCACTGTTTGCGCAGCACAGCGTTTCGCTTCCTAGCACAGAGGCAGGGAAGGAGTGAGCAGGTGTGAGGTTTTGGTAAACTTTATTCCCAATCCATTGAAAGAAAATTTCCTTCAGCTCCTTTATTTGAAATCTGGCTCTAACCCAACAGCGTAGACCTACCAGAGAAATAGGAAGGAAAGACCCTCCAGCAGAAGGACTGGACTTTGGGAAAGTTCTGCAGGACAATACATGTATTTGCATACCATTTTGTATGCAGAACACAAGGGAATATTAACTATTACAATCCAAGGTTTGGACTTCATTTTTCATAGTTTAAAATTTACTCCATTCTGGCCACTGAAAATGCTTGGTAAGGATTGAGGGAGGACTACATAATCATTTTGTTATTTGTTAACGGGAGAGTGATTACTACTGTGCGTAAGAGGGAGCAAAGAAAATATTCTGGAAACAGTATTATTTTAGACATGAAAAAAATTGCATCGTTCAGTTTATTTTGACCTAAGGATGGTAGAGTCTGGCTTTACAACACTGCTTTGGCCAAACCCAGCCAGCTCCTTTAAATTATGATTATGTGTCTTGGTTTCTTGGGAGCCTGGAGATGAATCTCCTCACTCACCATTGCTCTTACCCTTTCTGTGCTTCCTTTTCTGGGCCTTGGTGCATGAACCACTTGCCTTTCTCTAGGGAAGCAAGCAGAATCCCATCAAATCCCATGGCTGTTCCCTCTCTTACATGCACAGACCTGTCAGGATAGGGGAGAGGCCCTTTAGGTCTGCTAGACACAGCTTTTCTCCCTGGTTGTGCTGGTGCTGTTGCTGTGATGATTAAGTCCAGACACCTGAGAGCTGTGCCCTTCTCAGGTAGAGTGATGAAAACAAACAACAGAATTGCCACCTTGTTTTTTCTCTTTCCCCAGTGCTGACAGTTGAACTCAGAGCCTTCATGCTGAACAGTATATATCACCCCTCCCCCACCTTTGTTTAATTTTGAGACAGTCTCACTAAGTCACCCAGGCTGGACTTGAACTTGAAATCCTCCTGCCTCAGCCGCCCAGAGTGCTGGGATTACAGTCCTGTGCCACCACGCACAACTGCTAGGTTAGCCTTCTCACAAAATGCCCACAAACCATTTCTGGCAATGTCTCTGACCAGAGGTTCCTTGTGCCTGCTCTACAAAA